GTATCAAACGTAAGTAGTGTATCCGTTTGCTAAGTTTAATGCAGAAAGAGAGGAAGAAAGCGTTACAAATCAGCACTACAGTTTTAAATTCATTGTGTCTTTATGTGGTTCAGCTACTCACGTTTCTTTGGAATAGATAGCCCTGAGTTTTCCAATTTCTTTGTGGTAACGGTCAAGGATCCGCATGAAATCTTTATATTTGTTACGTGAAACCTCGAGCTGTTGTTTGTAAATCTGGCGATGGAGAACATCCTCTGGTTCACGCGAACGTAACAACATACGAGTATACCCAATTACATCTTGAGACTCGGTGATGTTGGAGCCAATGTCCTGAATTTCATCTTCCAGGGTATCGATCACAGTCGCTATCGCCTCAAGCTCGAGAGTGTTGAGGAATCGGTAAGCATCTAAGTGACGACTGATCCCATGCTCAACGTTATGGTAGAAGCCTTGGTCTAGAGCACCTTGAACATAGATATCAAAATGTCGGGTACGCTCAGGTGTAGTAACTTGTACCCCAGGGGAAGTTGGTACTCGTTCATCAAAAGGAAGCGCTCGGAACTCGGGAATCAGGCTTTCGTATCGTCGGTAACTAAAGGCTGGTATCATCGTGGCAAACTACTATTGTGAAGACTGTCAGCCGTCGGGAATTAAGAAAGCAAAATGTAGGAGCTGAAAGGAATTGTCAGAGATGGCTGACCAATTCAGTGTATAGGTCTGGTAATTCGAGTCTAACAAGGATGATCGCACTTTCTTCAGATAATCAAACAATCTGTTTATAATAATTTTTTTCAAAAGAGCTCTAGATAGAAAATAGCGCATTAAAACAAACTACATGAGATCCGTCTTTTGAATTTGAAAGGGCATGCATATAATGTGTATGTCAATCAAGTGTCTGACCTCTTTGTTGTTGAGGGCTGCTTTGAATTGAGACACTAATTATATGTAGATCAGTCACTCTGAGGCGAGTTGCTATTCTACTTTACATATTCAAAATTAGTAAGATTAGAAAACCCGCGTAACATCCACAGAAAATCAGGTTTTCTAATCCCCATCACCATGCAAGCCCGGGTTGCTTTGATGCAAACAAAGGACAAGAATACCCATTTCTATCATGATTAAATCACGACCGGAAATAACAGGAAGAATGTAATATATGAGCAGATTTGTTACCAAATCGTGCGTAATCTGATTGTAAAACACAATCGGATCATGCAGTCATTCAATAATTACGCTGGACCCTTGGTCAAGATGGCTTTCTTTGGATGCTTGTCTACATAATTGGAATCACAAGTCATTGTTCAAAGTAACTGCTATCACACGAGGCAAAGACAAGTGCTTTGTGATAGAGAGGGCCTTTGTCCTTTTACGCTGGGTAGCATCACCTAGAAATCGCATCTCCAATTTCACAATCTTAAATCACAAAACTTCTCCGTCAAAGAATCTCTATCTATCTCCTGCTTATAAATTATCACAGTTTGTGTTTTTAGTTTGATTACCAAGTTGGATTGGTAAGCAGTTTCTACAGTTCAACTCTGTTGGTGATCCACTGATACAAATATTGATCGAATCTCCTGCTCATAGATATGACCAAGGGGAAGACACCACGCAAGGGAGGGTCACCTGGCACTCTCTCTACTCTCAAGTCTCCAGGAGGCACCATTTACTTACCGTCAAAGCAAGAAGATCAAGGACCTTCCACCCCAACTCCTCAATCTAATTCAACGAAGTCCAACCCTGTCTCGGATCATCCATTATTGCCACTGGTCCAAATGCTTCCGAATGACCTTTATGTGTTCCTTCAACGTAACTTCGAAGAAATCTCCTCAGGAATCACCAACCTCAAATATTATCGAGTATTGGTACACTTCAACCCCAAGACTTCGGCGCGCCCGACTCATACAAAGGACAAGTTGAAAGCCGATTTTTTAGAAAAACTACGACCACATCTGGAACCGTTTCTGATTGACCCACCTAAACCAAGCACGCCAGCCGGCGCGGACATCGATTTAGACTTTGATCCACTTCATCGCCGTACCACTCGTGCCATGCTTACTGCCGCCATTCTCTCCCAAAGACCTGGGACTACGATTGCATCAGACGCTCGAATCGATCAGATCTTAATACTTTACAAAAAATACGTTGATCCCGACCTTGTTCTCCCAGCCAACACCGAATATAGTCGCAAGCCAAAGCATCTTCCTGTGGCGAAGGCTGCTAAAAAAACCATGGAATATCTACGATTTGCTCTACAGTGCCATGCGCCAAACATCTTTGTACACTCTATTGCAATGACCCACCCAATGCTTGTAGACTTGTACATCAAATTTGTGGCTGAAGAGGACGTCCCAGAGGGGAGACTTGTATATGGATACCACTATTCCAAGATTGACGACTTCATGGATGTGGGAAAGGCATGATGACATAAACGGCTAATTAGAGTAAGTTTGAGCTTTGTCTGTTGACTGCAGTCTGTATGAGCCTAATTTATGGCTGATTTGTGTCATGTTCAAACAGTTGAGTGTTTCAGGTCCCTTTGTAACATGTTGTCCAGCCATGAACAAGGCTTCAGAAGTTCAGAATGGTTCAGACAGCGAGCTATCTTAGTTTCTTTCCAATAGTTCTATTTAGAAGTTCAGAATCATTCAGACAGCGAGCTATCTTAGTTTCTTTCCAATCAAAGATTTGTTGTTACATCACCACAGTCTCTATCAAGTTCCTTCCTCCTTATAAATCGATCTTTAAGATCAAACCTTTGTCTACATGTACTTCAATTTATGTAAGGATTAGTGAGTTAAGTTTGGTAATGTAGTGCGATTCTGAATCCACTCTATCTGCAAATGAATGATGTCGAAGGAATCAAGAGGATTTGCCAGGAGGAGTTTTGATTTGATTACATAGTTTGAAAACTAATTGTTTGATATCAGTCTGAGGACTAATCTAAGTCTCACGCACTTATTGTTAAAGAGGTATATCTGTCTCTTTTTTCAGGAGAGGTGTTCACCGCTCTTCTATCGGTCAGAGGCCTGTCAATCATTAGTCGAACGGCTTATAAGTGATTTTTCACTTTCTACTGCTTCTTTTCGCCTTGTATACTCATTTGGACAAGTCTTTCGTTGCAATCTTTACTAAATGAGCACTCGCAAGAAGAAGACTGCGCAGACCCACAGGAAAGTTTGCTGCTGTGAAGCATTCCAGTGCAATGTCGGGAGCTATGTTGATGCTTCTGGCAATAACCAACCGGGAGTCGAGCTGACTCGCGAAGCATACGAAGCTCATCGGCGTGTCGAGATTCGTAATCGCGCGCGTGCTACCTTATCTCCTTCGACTTCTTCCTCAAGGACACCACCACAGACACCACCACGTTTGAATCGGGATGTTTCGACAAGTCAAACAGATATAACTTCTCCTTTAGCTCGTATGACCTTGAATCAGTCAGAAGAAGAAAACCTCCGGACCCGTCCTCCTCATTCTCATCCCTTGGGACCAGCACAGCGTGAGGTTGTATCGTGTCTTTTGCACCATTCTGATGAAGATGATGTAGAGGCTGGTGATTTGGAAGGAGATTCCGGCAGTGGCAACATCCTCGAATGAATCAAAAATGACATGCTCGGCTGCTCGTTTGGCAAGAGATTCTGGCGTCAAGCCTTATGATTGCAGTATGTTTTCATATATATAACTATTTCTAGATTCTATGTACACACGAGAGTCATGGTCTTAATCATATAAATAACTTGTTGATATTATCATAGGTAGATTCTTCGACTTCAGCCTAGAAAATGTCAAACCGCTGTGTCTTCACACTGCACTCACATCAGCAATAGTCAATATATATGACCATTCATCCCAAAAGACAGCTTCCTGGCTGCTCGGTGCGCAGCGAAGCACCATCGAGCTTTCTTTGACTACTGGGCTAGTGCCCAGTCTGGAAGAAAGTCCTTCTTCCCTTCTTCCCGGAGAGACGGCTGCTTTAAACCAAATACCACGTACCATCGGCACCGTGATTGGCTGGCTCCGAGTAGACCCAGAACTTACTTCGATGAATTGCTGCAAAGCTTGCTTTGCTTTGTACCCAATCAGCAGCACGCCAAAGAATTGTACTCATCTTATTTCTAGGATTCCAGGAGGGCCGGCCGTGAATGACGCAAATACCCCGCTGGAAACCTCTGTAGCCCCAGATTTGAATCAAGACTTCGACGAAGAAGTATGCGGAGAACCTCTAATTAGAATGTCTAGAAACAAGGAGCGACCTGTGCGTCAATACGCTTTTCAAAATCTGTCAACCTGGATCGCCCGTTTAATGTCTCGTCCAAAGGTAGAGGAGTGGCTTGATGAATCACTTGTAGAGTCATCCAAACCATACAACCCGACTGAGGCAATCAATGATATTCATCAATCGAAAATATGGAAAGGATTTAAAGGGCCAGATGGCAAAGAATTTTGCAAAACAAGCGGCAATCTGATTTTCGGGATGTTTGTGGACGGGATCAATCCCTTTGGAAACAAGCAAAGTGGACATCATACGTCTATAACTTTCATTGTGCTCGTATGTCTTACCCTTCCAATCCACATACGGTATCGTCCCGAAAATCTCTTCCTTGCCGGAATTGTTCCAGGACCACGAGAACCCTCACTAGAGCAAATGAATTGGGTACTACGGCCGATTGTTACTCAGCTACAAGAACTTTGGAATCCTGGTCTGCTCCTTTCTCGAACTCATCTTTACGAAAACGGCCGCCTCATCAGAGTAGCGCTCCTACCGTTCATAGCCGATATACCTGCTCTGAGGCGCTCTCTTGGTTTTCCCAGCGCCACAGCGACTTTTTTCTGCTCATATTGCCTGTTAAAAAAGTCTGAGATCAACAACTTTGAACAAACCACGTGGCCAGTACGTACATCGTGCCAGCATAAAACGTGGGCGCAACAGGCTCGCGATGCCCAAACTGTAGCAGAGCGTAAACATATATTTAAAACTCACGGTGTTCGCTACTCGGTATTGAATGATTTGGAATATTGGGATATCATCGAGAATCATGTTGTTGATTCGATGCATAATTTGTTACTTGGGCTGCTTATGTCACACTGTCGCCGATTTTGGGCAATGAAAGAATTAACAAGCGATGAAGATAAGACTCCAGGAATCAGTACAAAAGAACTATTAGACCTGGTAGCAGAACATTCCCAGCCGCTTCCAATGCGAGAAACTGAAACTTCACCATTCCTAGATAGCGATGAAAATTCACACTACGGACTCATGCAAGACTCGTTTGGGGATAGCACTGATACAAGTGACGGTGATTTTGATCCATTGGGTGATAGCGGATGGAATGGCGAATGGACCGCACCGCCTCTGGATGAGATAACCTTGGACTCGGTGATGTTAGAAAAAATCAATACAATGCTACCTAAAATTTACATTCCATCCTGGATCAAGCGAGCTATTCCTGTTCTTGGAAAAGCTTCATTTGGAAAACTCAAAGCTGATGAATGGAGAAATCTTTTCTCCATTCAATTACCATTAATCTTGATTCCTATATGGTCTGGCCAAGATCATGTGAAGACTTCTCTTCTGAAGAACTTCGGTCACTTGGTATCCCTTGTCAATCTGGCCCTCAAACGTGCAATCTCCCCTGAAGATATCCGAAAATACCGATATCACATTCGAGAGTACCTGGAGGGCTCAGTAATACTCTTCCAACATTGTAAATTGACTCCGAATCATCATATGGCCATCCATCTCGCTGATTGTCTTGAAAAGTTTGGTTCCGTACGCGCTTGGTGGTCATTTCCATATGAGCGCCTGATGGGAAGTATACTCAAGTCCTGTCATAATAACCACATAGGTAGGCCTGATGATTTTTAATCTATCAATAGGATTTTTGACTAATATTTTAACACTTTCATTGTACGTATCTTCCAGGTGAACTTGAAATCACCTTCCTAAAAAGTTTCTGCCGTGCTGGAAACTTAGCTGCCCTCCTGCAAGACGTGGAGAAACTACCAGAAGCATTAAGGCCGTATATTGACCAATTAAAAGCTTTATATGAACCCGCATCCACACGACCCAGGCGCTTGTCGAATTCAAAGTTTGAAAGCTTGGATGAGAAAGATCTGGCACGGTTGATCAGGAGGTTGAATGTCCAAGGGACTGACGAGTGTATCTGGGTATCTCCCAGAGAATGGGCAGCGTATAAAGAAGACGAAGGGCTTGGAAAGGCGCCTGTACCTCCTCGCGCGCAATTTTACAATAAAATCGAGCACAACGATGTCAGCTTCTCAGTTTTTGAAAAGAACTTGAATGATAGCTTTGTAGTATTCAGATCGAAATCAGATGAATTTGACTCGTTTGGTCGAATAGCAAAAATTTTCGTGCACCGTCGGTCACCAGAGACCAAGAGAACTATCATTCAGACTTGGTTAAAAGTACAAACCTTCCAGCCCATTCAACAATCTCAATACAATCCCTTCAAACGCATTGACATGCCGGACATGAACGTTCATTTAAGAGCGTGGGATTACCCCAAAGATCGTTTAGTGAAGTTGGAGGAGGTAGTAGCACATTGCTCGTGGCTGATGTACAAGCCCAAGCAGCTTCATTCAGACTTGAACATATCTACTGTCGCTCTGGTTTCAATGGTGCGATGAAATTTTTTCTATATAGCTTCAGATACCAGATCAATGTGAACCATAAAAAAAAGGCGAAATCTGTATGTACATAGCTCTAGATACCAGATCAATGTGAATCATAGAAAAAAGGGAAAATCTGTATGTACAAGTTATCAGAGTCTTTCAAGTAATGGAATAAACCCGTCTAAAAGTGGTTCTGTAGTGATCTCTAGCTGACTGATCTCCAAAGGAGAAAGTGACTTCAGCCACTCAGATGAGTAGCAGTCAGTTGGAAGGCCGACTGGCGCAGGTACACGACTTACTGGTCCTTCACGGCAACGAACCCTAGTGCGTGCAGGACGACCACCTTGTTTTGGTGTTGAGCGGTTTGATTGAGGTTGTGAAGAGTCGTTCCTTGATTTGGCAGAATCAAGCAACTTGCATACATTTTCAAGCTGCTCACTTCGCCAGGCAACCTTTCGAATCCGACAAGGTATGCTGCGCTGATTAGACCCCTCGACAGATGTATCGTGTTCAATATCAGTCTCATCATCACTGCATGCAGCTGTGATGATTTCTGAAAGCGGCCATAGTTTGTCTTGGGAAAGTATTAAGTCTTCACGTAACTGTCGTAACTGAATTGACCATGCTCATTAGTTTTCGAGCCATAAGTTTCAGATTTAGAGGGAAGATATTTGACATACATATCTGAGCCTAGAACCTCTGCGAGCTTCATCAGCGGTCTTTTTTCTACGACTTTCCTCCCACTGTTGGTTCTGATAACTGCATAACATGAAATTTGACATTCAGAAAATTCAATCATCACCATATCATTATCAGTATCATTAACCATTTGCATATTTGAGATGATGAGATGGTCAATACCGTTTAGTTAGTGATCGGATATGGGTAGACAGGCACTTCTTGATGAAAGCATGTCCGTCATCTTCAAGTGGTACACCCGTGTACTCGCCACATTCTACAAGCTTTATGAATATCTTCAGAGCAATATCCCAAAGCCATTTGTTGTCCTTCGAAGTTGGTGAGTCAGCAAAGTTGGGTCGAAAACTCGAGAGTCCAACTGATTGCATCATATTCCACATGATACAAAGCTGTTGCGTAGTAGCATCCTTATGGCCAGGACCGTCTGGATATGGGAAATGAGGATCTGCGCTAGTGGATGGTTGTTGAGGAGATCCTTGTGGGTCGGACGGGTCATTGCAGTCATTTGTGCTGGGGTTGATATCACGCATCCAGGATTCTTTCTCTGATTGCGTTGCTGGAGGAGGAATTGCACTCTGTCCAAACAATGTCTCAATGTGGAAGCGAATGCGAGCCTGTCCCAAGCTTGTTATCAGTTATGATATCACCAAAAAGATGCATCAAAGACAATACTCACCGATGTTGTACCACCGCGCGTCTTGTGGGTTTCAACTTTTTTTACTGTTCGATTTTCAATTCCTTTCGTCATGATATTAGACATGACCTTCATTTCTTTAACTAATGCTTCATATTTTTTATCAGACCTCGCAATGTGCGCTTGAAGTTGATCTGTGCAGGTGCGAAAAACATTTTTAAGCCTAGCAAAACCATCTGGATTTTGGATAGAGTGACTTACAGATTTTTTCGACCATCCAGGAAGTACTCCCCTTTTCAGGACTTAATTTCTCACCATCTGTCGCCGAATGGGGCGTTTCATTTGCCACATGTTCTGATGGCGTAGGTGGCGGAGTTTTTTCAACTGTGACGTTTCTTTCGGTAGCTTTAGAACCTCGTTTTTTTTTCTTCTGTGTCGGCCTAGCTTGATGTTGCTTTTTTTTTGAAGCAGGGGTTGATACCTGATTATTTTCGTCACTAGCTTCACTATTTTCGGCATCGTCGGTAGATCCCCGGGGTTGTTGTGAGCGGATCCCAATCATCTTCATGTCGGAACTGCTTCGACGCGGAGAGGGG